GGGGGGCCGCATTACAAAATCGATTGCCCTACCTACCACTCCAGCAGAGGACCCAATCCCGGAAGGGGAAGGGCAAGGGCAAATCCGATCGCCCACGCCCTTGGGCGCCGGCAGCCCACCAGTGGCGAGTGGCGCCAAAACCCACGGAGGGAAAGGGAGCAGCCGGAAGTTCTTCGGACGCCGTTGTCGGGCCACCAGAGCGCACCATTGCTCAGGACATTGCAATGAAAGGCGCAGCCAAGGCCAAGGGCAAGGGCAAGAGTGATCAGCAGCCGAAGGGCAAGAGCAAGTATGAGCCGCAGAAGGGGCAGTACAAGTCCGAGCCATACAAGGGGCGTGGCAAGGAGAAGGGCAAAGGGAAGCCTGCGCAGGAGCGGGTGTACTATGGTGATCGTGAGTGGTCCGGATCTTGGAGCTTTTCATGGAAGTGGACCGCCTCCCGGGGATGGTACTGGGAATGGGACCCTTAGATCCTTTTGGCCGCTAGTGTGTGTGTGACTTCCATGCTAACGGGAACGTTAGCCGGAATGCTTTCTTTCTCATGTTGGCATGTGAAGTAAATGGATTTCAAGTTCGCTACGCTAACGGGAACGTTAGCCGTCTTCCCACATTTTGGCTAACTGTTTCAACAGCGTTGCGAACCGGAAGGTTTGCCGTGTCCATTTTGGCTGGCACGCCTTGTGCATTCATTTTGTCAATATTAATTCACGGTATATGGCACCTATGGCATCTTGTTTGGAGTGGTAATGCTCCTGTGATGCTGGGTGGAAACCTAAGCCGTGTATTTTGCCTTTTGCAGCAATCCGCTTTGAGCATAAAAAGAGCCGAGCCTTACTTGCAACTTTCTCCACTACAACCACGCATTCGTAGGTCCAGTGCATTGTACATAGTGTTGCAGCCTGCTCTCAGGTCAATCGCGGCTGCCTTCTCTGCCTCTCCGGTGCAGCCAGTGATCTGGCCGCGCCGCGGGGTATTTTTCACTAGTCATGTACATACACTTGTACCTAACCGCGTGACTATGGCTCAAGAAAAAGGTGTATCTAGTTGGCTGTTTCCTATCTGAAATAGAATAAAACCCGCCCAGACATGGATGGTAAAACCATCTGAAACCTCTCCAGGCCTGGGAGGGATCATCATTTGAGCCATGCACTCGGAAAAAATTACCCGAAAGGAGCGCTCGGTGACGTTGACCGATCAACCTGCCCGACAAACCCAACCATAGAAAAACCATGAAAAACCTCTTTTGGTCAAAGCCTCACAACTAGGGTTTTGGCGGTTTTGGACCTCAAACATGTAGCAGTTTCAGGGCTCATGAGCCTCTGGGATATGATACTGTATATATAACGATAAATATCGTGTATAAATAGGCCAGTGTAGGTTCATGATTGCAATGGCTCATAATGACGAACACCGAGTTCTTCACCGTGAATTGCACCGTTGGATTTGTCATCGACTCTCTCCGACGGAGATCTCCGTCGGTCAGTCGTCGTAGGACGTCTCCTACTCCGATGCGACGGAGGAAGACGAGCCGTTGGAAAGCCATTGCGACAGGCATCCATCGATGCATTCCTTTTTGTTTTTTCTATTCGGTGCCGTGTGTGTCGTTTCACACACGCTGTTTAAAACAGATGAAGGATGAAATACTACACGTCAAAGTAAGACAATGTTTATGGTGCTTTTCTGTTTTTCTTCATAACCAACTGTATTGACTTAGCCTCTTCGATCCTTTCTGCGTTCTTCACCGAATGGCTTTCGATGGGCCCCATGAACTGCCGTTCCGGACGCGGAGGCGGTGCAAGAAGTTCTCTCAGGTTTGGCTTCTGGTGCTCACTGTGCCAAGGAAGCGGTCAGAGTGGCAGAGTGGTGACGTCTTAATCCGCCTGTGGCCGGCGGATTCCTTAACGATCTGATTTGAGATGGTTGATTCACTGTTGAGCGGCGTTTCCCTTTTTGAAGGTGTAGACTTTTTTTTTCTGGGTGCATGCGTTTTTAAAATCCCCTTAACTTACTGAACTGTGTAGACATGCATCAATTTGCATCGACTGGAGGGCGGGTGTCGGTGAAAGGGTCATGGCTGCAAAGAAAAAAACAATTACTGTAGCGAAGAGCGACTCCAGCCCTGGACTTTCCTATGTAGATGTCCAACAAAAGCTCAGTCTAGTAGTGTAGTTTTGGTAGTCAGTCCATTGATTGAATCCTTTTTCCAGCTCCTGAGAGGTAGTTCTTAGCTTGACCCTTCTAGGTCCAAAGCACCTGGGTGTTAACTCGAGACTCGAGGTGGTAGGAATGGCCGCCAACCTAGAAGCGATGGCCTCCAAACTAATAGCACTCTTCCAGTCAAGATGCATACAAAGCTGCTCCCACTTGAAGATGAGCTTCACCACGGGTGAGGGGGCCACTGTCCCATTCGGTGTCAGCAGTCTATGTCAATATATAGCGTATTTAAATGTATTTAATCTATATTTTCCCTGCAGAGACTCTTCTCCGACCCAGGTTGGCATCATCCTGGGCCCTGTGCTACTCGTGGTCCTCAGAGTCCAAAGTGATCAAGCAGTCACGGCCTCGCAGTTGTGGCAGAACAAGAAGCTCGCGAATTTGCCGCCTGAGGGCACGCGAAACCCCGTGGCCGATGCCACCTTGGTGGCCTGACACCGCATGACCCACACGTCGCAGGTCGCCGTGAAAACGCAGGTCGTGCGCCGTGAAAACCGGGGAGAGGCTCCGAAGCTGGAGACGTGGTGAGGTAGTCTTCAGTCATCCTTTTGGAGACGTTTGGGTCGCACACGGATTCTTCGTGTTCCGGATCTCTGTGGTCGCAGCCTTCGATCAAACTGGATATTTGGACAGGGAGCATCTGAAACTCACCGATCATCCGTGAAAGGGAGCATTCCCTCCAAGAAGACCCGAAACCCATGCCAATGTGCAGAACGTTTTCCTATGGCCCAGTCTGCACTGGCCCCAAGAGTGGAATCAAATTTTGTTTTCCACCTCAGATGTGAGGCTTTCATGATCGGCTATGGTCGGCAGATGAGATTGCAAGCATCTATCTTGGTGGATATCTCGTTCGGAATCCTGACAGATCAGAGGGTTTCAGTCTTACGTTCGCTGTCGAACGTTTCAGCATTCGACTTGGTCCAGTCTGTCTAAGGAGAATAGATGATTGAATGGTGTTGAACTTCACTGAGGCTAGGGGTTTAGAACGAGATGATGTAATGTCCACTTCTAAATGGTAAACCGCCCCTCCACCACATGTTGCCCTCATGGATCCTGGTGGGACAAGATGACGGAGTCGTGTCGGTGAGGTAGTTCAGTCATTAGAAGTCCTGCTTCTGCTGCTTCCAAGGCGTCACCTCGCTGGACTTCTCTGTTAGGACACCCCCAAATGGAAGCGCCTAAAAAGGCTGGGTCGGAACAGGTAGGCGGATCACTTCGAAACTGGATGAAACCTGTTGGGATCCTTTTGGGGGGGGAACTCCAATGCCAGTAGGTGGACAGTTCGGACCGAGACAGGCCTGGTCCGTAGGCCCCGAAGTCCCAAACCATCCGGGATGGATGCGTGGATCCCCGGTCCAAATCGTTCAAACACATTCAAAGACCATGTTTGGTTTTGGACTACCCTGGCCTTCAGGGGTGAGTGACCGCAGGCTCAACAGAAACATACAACAACTATGTATACAACTGAGGAATCTACAGTTGTTCTAACCTCGGTTTTTGAGGCGAATCCTGAGGTTTTTGGTGCTGCCTCATCTCTGAGGATTGGTCTTCTGTGGAACTTTGACCTCCACCTACATCGCCACCAGCGATTGGGATAAAGCTCCCAAGGACCGGAGACGGAGAGGAAAAGCGTTCGGTGGACAGGCGCAAAAGGTAGAGCTGTCCAGCGCTGGTCAAGACCGGTGAAGCGGTTAAGACGGCTGGTTAAGCACTGGTTAAGCACAGATTGGGTAACCACTGAGTGGTTAAGGCGGCTCAGCTGGTTCTTGACCCTGGGATCCACTGGGAAATGGATGCGGGAACGGCGGGTTGCTGTGGTGACGGGAGATGGGGAAGTGAGGAGCGCTCAGAGGTCGCGTGCATGTTTTTCAGGAAACCCATTTGCACCAAGTGCTCGGAACGAAAAGGGAGACCTATATAGACATGACACAATCATGGTTAGGTGGATGCCATGGCCACTTGGATGACCATTTTCCTGTACACAGGTGGTGCCATGATGATTTCAGGAAGTGCTCAAGATTATTCAAGGGGCTCCTGGCCTTACTACTAGGAACAAGAAGCTATACTAGTGGCTCCTGGCCTTACTACTAGGGGCGGGAACCAGTAGCAGTTAGCACCAATCTACCAAGATGCTGTTCTTCGCATGCCCCGCCCGGCCCCCAAAAGACCCCGCCAGTGGCACCATGACGCAGTGGGACAAGGCTCTTTGGTATTGAACAATGCCGTTCCATCAGGAGTTCCAAAGGGGTGCCTATTGAAGGGTATGACTGTCCAGAGCATCCATTTCACCTTTAGGCGCACTAAAGACCAGTCCGCTGGTAGGGGCATGCCATCCACTTCCAGCGTTGGTCGTTTCGTGTGACAGACCGGTCTGTTAACAGCTTCGACCTGTGGACCGTCACCGTTTGGACCGTCTGGACACCCGACACCCGGCCGGCATCAGGGCAAACTCGGCTGTCAGGGCAGACGACCCCGATAGTCTTACTGAGACGGTAAACGCTGCTAAACGGGGATCAGACCGGTCAAGGCCAATCATTCCTGATATTGTCAGATCGACATGTATCCAATATGTCACGAAATAGGCCTTTTGGAAAAGACATGAATGATATTGATTCTAGTTTTCCTATTGGCTCTGTAGATGTGCGTTTCATTTTAGGTTCTATCAATGCATTGGCACCAGGACTTGGGACCCAAGTGGACTGCACATGTCAGCCATCGCCAACACCCATCCCGATTTCTCGCTCCGCCAGGACTTCCGGCAGAAGGGGACCATCTCAAACATGGCGCAGTCGGTGAACGATCCCCAGGGCCGTTTGTGGACCACATCTTTAGCGCTGGCCTCCATTCTTCTCACAGCCTCCATGTAGCGCGGTTGGAGCGGTGGATGTACTGGGGGTGGAAGTGTATGTACTTTGGGTGGATAAGGTTTGCTTGTGTGTGTGATGAGTGTTGGGCTCACGCAGGGATGGATCTCTGTCTTTTTGGTATTTGAGTCACTTTTACGAGGGTAGATAGATGCATTAATTCTTTGAAGGGTATCAACAGCCAGGGTAGTTTGACGTTTGTGAGGGTCATTTTGGGCAAATCTGTTCCACCGGGCTCCAAGAAATCAATTGTATGCAATTTTCATGTATTGATCACCATTTCCATATCAGGGTGCAGATTGGAGGGCACTTGTAAGGGTGCCCATTGTCAACTACTGACTAACAACATCCAAACAGAAACCAGAATGACTTATTCTGACTGGTGCTATTAGTAATGAATGAGGGAAGCTTTGCCCCAACATAGATTCCGGACTGGATCCAGCCACCTTAATTCCATGCACTTGTCGCACCAGTCAGTGGAACTGCTGGAGCAACAGTGCTTCTGTTTTGTTTGGCTCGCCGGTACCCTCTTCAGTAGAGAAGCTTGAGACGACGTCATCCATGGCCGGACTGCCCAGTCATCAAGGAAACAGATGATCCTATCCTCAAAAGAACGCCAAAGAGATAGTGAATGCCTGTTGAACAGAAAAACATCGGAATACTTCTGTTTACATGTTTTCTAGGAAAAAGAGGAAAGGGAGAGGAGAGGGATAGGAAAAGGAAGAAAGGGAGAGGAGAGGGAAAGGAAAAAGGTGAGAGGGAAGGACCAGGACATGGAGGACACGAAGGGCCGCACAGGGATGGAAATAGCCGCGGCTGTCCCAAATAGTATCTTCATGTATCTTCTATTTGTTTTGCCCGGGTTTGTGGGCCATCTTCTATTTGAACCGGTCGGGTGTTCAAAACGGGCATACTTTCAATTAGAAGATTCTGACAACTAATTTCTTCCACCTTAGGCGTCTGCATTATAATAGAAACGAGTTTCACAGAAACATTCTGGGGATTTTTGTTGACATTTTTAATTTGACCATTTAAGACACCACATATAGAAAAACAACAGCTGTTGGGTCCAGAAAGGATCAAGACAGCTTTTTGGTCGCACAATTGGGGGCGCGGCTTACCAATTCTCTGAGGTCCGGGAGTTCAGCAGACCTGAACAAACGGTTCCAGCGGATGCACCGACCCATTTTTCGACCCGAGTTCACGTGCCGTTCGTCCCGGCGCAACAGCACCCGGCGCTTCCGGCGAGGTACACCTTTTGGATCTATCGTCCCTGGTGGCTCGCTTACGTTTAGGTTGATTTTGATTTGATGTTCCCTATGGCAATCCCCAACTTGTTTGTGTTGTTTTTTTCAGGTTCCTGGACAGCAACTCCCAGGTGGCCGCAGGTGGATTTCGAACACAACCCCTTGGCCTCCTCCGTCTTGGAGCAGCGCGCCGAGCGGCGCGCGCGAACGGCCTGGGCCCTGGTGCCCAATGTGGGTGCCTTGGAAGGAGAATTCCGAGGTGAACAGTGAGTCTGTGTAAATAACATAAATACAGACCTTGTAAAATAGAGGGTGACCCAGCTTCTGAGTGTAAATCCTTATTAAAACAATGGTCGTTCAGTAAAAACCATCAAATCAATGGTGGTTGGAAGCCTAGGCTATAGAAGATCAGAGAAAAAGTATAGTAACATAGTCTGATCATAAGATCATATCAGGACCCTACAGGCTGTCTTGGGATTCAACCACAGGTGGTTTCTGTGCACCTGCTGTCACCAGGAATGACCTTCTGGAGGGTCCTGCTATATATGAAGTACTTCGAAATTAGTCAATCCAACAGCCTGGGTGACTTGACCCCGTGTACTGCGACAGAATGAACACCCGGATATTAGGAATTCACCCCAAAAGGATCCAAAAGGGCTCTCGAACTTCAGCATCTCTTTTGGAACAGCTAGACACCCCGTTGGTTCCCCCCCTGCTGACCGGACTCCCTGGTTTTTCGTCGATCTGTTTTTTTCTTGCAGCCTTAGGGGTCTCAGAAGTTTTTGTTTTTCTTTTTTTGTGGTTCTATAAGTATTCCAGAAAGGACATCATGCTTGTTTCATCTTGTTTCTGCACTACACAAGGGTCACCTTTGGTCAGTCTTGGAATGCTCAGGACATGGCGAATTTACTTTTTGCCAAAGACTCATTGGACGCTCCTAGCTAGGGTTTTGATTCTCACAGCTAGGCTTTGTGCTGGCAGCGATGGTCCCAAGCCTCTCCGATGCTACCGATTTGTCTCTTGGATGCTAAACATGTTGGATATGCAACCCGACGGGGGCCGGACCCAAGAGTTGTTGGAGGGGCCCAATCCCCGAGACCAGAGGCTGTAACATTGGATGACATTTGCCCACTTACTAGTGAAGCTTGGAGGAAATCACTCCAACATAGTGAGGGTGGAATTCTGGGCAGGGGATGTCACATCCAAGTATCAATGACATCAGACGAGAGGTGCTTCCACTTGTGCTTTCTTGAAGCCTTTGTGGCCACACATGGCACAGCTTGGCACGGCCTGCGGAGTTTTTCAGAAGGTCCAGGATCGAGCCGTGGTGAGTCCAAACTGGGAGCCCGAAATAGACCTCCCAGGTAGTCTATTCAGTTCATTTTCGGTGGTCCAAGGTCTCCCAGTTTTGACCCAGAGCCACTTGAGTGTTTTTTTTGATAGGGAGACTGGGAGACCCCCTGGCCCTGGCCGGGTAGACTGACCTATTTCCCTTCTTCCAGTACCTCGTTGGGAGTTCTCCTTTAATCATCCACGTTGGCTCCAGGGAACCATTCAAGTTCATCACACAGTTTCAGCTCCTTTCAGCTCTTAGATTCGGAGCATCGATCTTTGGGAGGTGATCATCTGGGGATATATATATATATATACATACATATATATATATATAAACTGTATACTAGTAGTACAAGAGATCATAAGAGGATCTGAAGCTCTTCGTTGCCGTTTCTGTTTTTTGCTTGTTGTTTGTTCTATACTCATGTGGCCATTTGAGATTTGGATTGGTCCCTTGATTCAGAGAGAGGGGGGGAGAGAGATGAGAGAGAGAGAGAGAAACAACAAGATGGAACCCACGAACCCGAATGCAAACACGTTCCATATGCCCAAATGACACTCTTGTAGGACACTCTTGTGGGTCACTCTTGTAGGAAGCTCTTGCGGGGCACTGTTTTGGACACTCTTGTAGGACACTCTTGCGGGACACTCTCGTAGGACACTCTTGTGGGACACTCTTGTAGGATACTCTTGTGAGTCACTCTTACGGGGCACTTTTGTCGGACACTCTTACGGGACACTCTTGTAGGACACTCTTGTGGGTCACTCTTATGGGACACTCTTGTCAGACACTCTTGTGGGCGGCTGCGACCTTAGAAACAATGGGTCGCGAACAAGGCTCTACCCCCAGACCCCCAGAGTTAAACGAGAACCCTTCGTTACGCATTCGGGAAAAAGAGAGCATGTCTTTTAAGGAATATTGTTCTGGCTGCGGTCCACAATGTCACAGCTCCTCTTTCAATGCTCTTCTTGATGGTCATGGAGACGATTCAGCTGGAATATGGAGAGAATGCCTTCAGAGACTGGTTTGCAAGTCTTTTCCCGCAACAAGAATGGAGCCATCAAAAGAGGCTCCGTTCGAGGTTAAAATATATAATATCCGTATAGAAGGAATGGATTTAGTCTACCCTTCATTCCTTTGGATTTAGCCTACCCTTCATTCCTTTGTGTGAATCCAGGTCCTGTCACTGCCATACCCACAACTTTCGGGGGCTTCATGCTGAGCACTGAGCAAGGATGTTCTGGCGCAATCCGGTGTCTCATGCCTGTGCTTGACCATACGACAAGATTGACAAGAAGAACCATAACTTTTCATGTTCAGATGTGCAAAATTGACGTGCCAAACTTGGGACACAAAGTACGAAGAGACAAGATGTCGGGCAACATGTTTCGGCAACACAGTGAGTCAGTCAGCAAGTCAGTCAATAAATCAGTCAACCGGCCAGCCAGGCAGTCAACATGCTGCATGTTTAACTGTTCAAAAAGTTATTGTTTCTCGCAACTTTGTACCATCCACCATTCCTCCCTTTGATTGGTTCAGCCGTGAGTACAGGGGACTGGTTCGCGACAATTGGTCACAAATGAGAACAAACATGAACAAATTCATTTCTCAATGACAAAGTTACAGGTGGCGATGGTGAAAAACAAACAGATTATGTTTTACTACTATTATTGATCATTGTTACTATATTTTACTATGTTTTGCATGTCTCAGATGAGGGATTTCTCGAACTTTTTGGGGGGACACAGCACAGCAAATGCTGCACTTCGCAACTTCAGTCGGTCTTAGCCGGTCGAAGCCGTCGCCGAAGGATATTTCTTGTCAGCAGAGCCCTCGAATCCGGTGTATCTTGGAGTTCGTTTCGAGCTGAAACTCGATGTTTGAGGATCCAGGAGCGTTGTTGGGGAACCATGCATGGACCATGCATGGACCCGGGGTGCTGATGGGATGGACGAGCAGGTAGAAAGATGTTTGAAATCGCAGTGCCGTTCCCAGTGTCAACAAGGGGATCTAGTGGGAAGTTGTTGTATATAATCCACCCAAGATTCCCAGTCCCGAATGTTTTCTTTTTGATGGCTGTTGGATCCATGTTGTTGGCTCAGATCAACGGATCCCAGCTGAGATCAACAGATCGGATTCACCATGTTGAACATGTTTGAACAAACAAATTCATCAATGCTTCTTGCTGACTGCTATGCATGTTTCAGTAAGCCGACGTTTAACAAAAGCAGAATTCAACTTGGTGCTTTCTTGGATACAATGCTGTTCCTACCCGGGACTCACACGGAAACTTAGTGATTCTCCCAGAATGGTCCACAAATACCTTTGAGATCCCATGTTTAGGGATGATTTTGTGTTGAAGGACGAGCAGCTAGAATCACCACGCTAGTGGAGCATTACGACCACTTCACCAAAATTGCCAAAATTTCTAAAGGAATATACAGTGGAGTCCATGATAGTGCAGACTAGTGACTATTGCCGACTCACTCAGAAGGAGAAGATCAAAAACTGCAAAGATTAGATCTAAATGCCTATTTCATACACCAGTTTGGCTCCAAAAGTGGGCACCACTTTGGGTCTTTGAACGAAGCCAACGAAGCAAACATGACTCGCAGGTATGGACCTTTGACCACGTACCAGCGCTTGCGGGTGGTCCTCGTCCTTGAGGCATGGATTGCCGGTCTCATCTTCGTCACAGTGCCACGGCAGCGCAAAGCCAGGGGCGACATCAGGTTGTGCACGAGGTTAGGATTCGTTTCACAGGCTCTGGTGATTTTGGAAGTTCTTTTGGCTGCGCGCTGTTTCCTTTTTGGCTGGCCCGTCTGCGGTTTTGTTGGCTGTCATATGCCAGCTTTGAAAGCTATAATATGTGGATTTGCTTGGAACTCAGTCAAGAACTACTTGAATCATCGCTGACTCATCGCTGTAAGCTTGGGCAACCATACCTCCTACTGAACCACCTGCTGGTGGGCTGCTCAACTTTTGACATTTCGATAATCTTGGGCATTCCCGGTGTTGGGATGAGTTAGGCGCTCCTCGGTGCTTGTGGAGGGCCTTGGTCTGTCAACATGACACGATTGGAACAGGCCCACGACGTGACAGCCCTTCCGAACGAAAAGCAAAACGCGGATCGCTGACAAACAGCCTTTTCCACTTCCGATTTCTACCCAGTAAAAGTGGATAACCTTTTATCTGGGGGCGGGTTGGTTTGCCCAATAAACTGAAACAGGTGGAAAAAGGTTAACCTCTATTTTAAGTTTAAGGGAACCTCAGGAAGTCAAATTATGAAATCCGATGGTTGGTGGGGTCCAGGGCAATCTTAGCTTTTGCAGGTCCGATCGATCAATGGTTTTTCAACGGATCAGCGGCTGACGACCGTGAGGATTATAAATCCAACGAATCAACAGGTTTTGCGAATCGACCCGTTTCTGGCGTGCCTGGAATCCATCTCCCTGAATTTTCAGGAGTTCTTTCAAGGCGACGCACCATGAAGTACTTCGAGATCTGACATTCGAATGAAGGAGATAAACTCATTCATGGCATCTGAACTCATTTTGGTGTGAGATGAGGTGATGCGCACAATGGCCGTTTGGGCTTCCCGAACCAGGATTGATGTGGGCTCTTACCAAGCTGACAATAAATAGGATGACCAGCCAAATCAGATGTTCTTTGGCAGTTGGACCATCCCGAAAGACTCCCATGCAACTGGAAGATTGAGCTACATTGGCTCCTCATTGCGATGGCCTCCAACCTAATTGCGATGGCCTCCAACCTAAAATCAACCACCCCAAGTGAATATATACAGATTAGTCCCATGTCCCATGGTTTGCTTGGGATACTTGTGATGAATCAAAGACGGTTTGTTGCGCATCTCACCTTCTCCGAGGTGCAGGGTTACCTTGCATTTTGTCCCTTGGCAGTTGCTGCATCGAGCGGACAACCCCAGACGTACCAGACACCAGACGTACCAGTGGAATCCAGTAATTAGAGGACCAGCAAGAACCCCGCTGAACACTCCCATGGACCCTGAACATCACTTGTTTGTAGAGGAAGACAGTCTTTCAGGGTGCCATTCTCAGGGTCCAGTTAGTTGTCGGGAGTGTAGATCATTCATGGAGAACATGTCCACTCTGAACTTGTTCTTGAGGCCAGTTGAAGCTGAGATTTTAGAAGTACCAGGGCCACCAGGGTCGCAAGCCAGTCAACTTTAACGATGATGAATTTTAGAAACCTTATAGAAACCGATCAAACAACTGGGCGGGGGTTCCACCTTCTCTACAAACATGGAAGCGGGTCTCCCATTTTGTTTGTAATTGCAACACAGTCTTCTTTCAGAGGTGGTGAAGCGACCCACATCATAACGTGTTTAATACTTTTCTAATAGAGGAGGGGCCTTTTGTTAAGGGAATGTTTCATTTGTTCCGGATGCTATTTTTTGTTTTTTTTCCCTTCAGATTGTGCCTTTGCAGTTTTTTTCTTTTCCTGCTTTTCTGCTTTTGCTGCTTTTCTTCTTTTGCCGCTTTTTTGCGTTTGCATTGTTTTTCTTTTACTGACTTTTTTGCTTTTGCTGCTTGCGTGCTTTTGTTTTGTTTGGCTTTTGGTGTTTACCTTGGCTTTTGATGTTTTGTTTTTTTTGACTCGGCTCGTTTGTTTTTTGTTGCTTTGCTCGTATTGCTTCTGTTGATGTTTGTTGCTGTTTGGTCTACTGTGCTGCACCTGTTGCTGTTCGGTCTGCACTACTGCGCAACTTGCACACACTCGTATATACTATTTGGCTACACAAGCACATTAGACAGAGAAGCTTCAATACGCTTTGCGCATATGTATGTCATGGTTGTTTTGCGGTGTTGGCGGGAGAAACACATTGAAGTACAGCACTGCTTACATGTGGTGCTTACAAGATGCATTAAAGCCAACATTTAGGCGAGAGTGAGGAGCCGTTCCAAGGTAGAAGACCTTTTGCTTCCACCCGAGGGCAAAATTCAGAGGAGGTAGAGGAGGAAGGGGTCATTCCAAGGTAGCAGACCTTTTGTGAGCCACCTAAGGGTAGAATGTAGAGGAGGTAGGAGCCATTCCAACCCAACTGCCCATTTGAGCAAGGCCATTCCGCAGACCTTTCGCTGAGGGTAAAATTAGAGGAGAGTTTAGAGGAGGTAGGAACCATTCCAACGCAAGCCGCCCATTTGTGAGCCACCTGATTTTTGACATTTAGTGGAGGAAGATGTCATTCCAACATAACAGACCTTTGATGAGCCAGCTTAGGGTATAATGTACAGGAGGAAGGGGCCAATCCAAAGTAGCAGACCTTTCGTAAGCCCTTTTAGGTAAAATTTAGATCAGGCAGGGGCCACGAGGAGGAAGGTGCCGTTCCAACGTAGCAGACCTTTTGACCTTTTGTGAGCCACCCGATGGTAAATTTTAGAAGAGGAAGGTGCCGTTCCAACATTGCAGACCCTTTGTGAGCCATCCGAGGGTAATACTTAGAAGGAGAAGGTGCCACTCCAATGTAGCAACATGTCTGTGTGCGCGAGTGAGTGGCAGCGTGGGCAAGTGGTTCATGCGTGCGCTAGTGAGTTAGTTTTTGCACGCTTCAAGTAGGTGGGGGGCGCGCTGCCGACATAGCTTGCGCAAGTGAGGTGAGTTTTGTGTGCTCAAGTGAGTTGTGAGCCAACCCCAACAAACGCCGCCAAAATTGAGAGAAGCAAGAAACCATGACAGAAGCAGCAGCACACAGAAACATCCAAGCACACGCCCTTCCCCCAACCTCCCTCCAGCGCCACGAAAAGAATGTTCTTTTATATAAAGGGCGACCACGCTCCACCGCACCGGCCACCAATGTGAAATTTGCACTACTTCTTCGAATGTACTTTGCTTGCTACCACAGCTGTCTCACTTGAGTGTCAGCCCCGCTCCCGAAACTGTTTCTCCTTGAAGCTCAGCCACTCACTCCGCCTTGTGTCCGCCGTGCGTTTCCTTTTAAAGGACACTAGGTTGCAGTCAATAGCAGAAATTGTGGGCCCACTGGATTTTGACAATATTTACCGCAAAAAGTCATCTGTAGTATCATCTGTTTTGTACAGAGAATCACCACTACTTGGGGATCAGTGTAAGTGTTGATCTCATCTATTAGATGGTACAGGGGCCCTTGACCCAGGCAAAAGCATCCAAACATTTCATCTTGAGTCGATGTCCAGTGTTGCTCTCACCGACTACTACTACAAGTTCCTGACCGAACAACTCGTCCGGAAAAACCCAAGGTTCGAAGCTGGATGACGGGTCCATGAACCCCAAGTCCTTGCACCCCAAGTCTCACTGTAACTGGCAATGATCGTTAGTAGCTGAGTGCTTGGTAACTCTCCACAAACTAGTTGACTAGGTGACTAGTACCACTACCTACCAAATACTACCAGGATCTGACAGGCTGGCTCACCACTCCCTGCCTTTTATTGCGCCCAACCGTGTTTTTTGGGGAAACTCGACCTTGGGATCCCCGCGCCTCGCGGGCAACGTTGCCCACCTGTCCAGGTCCCAACCGGCGACATTGGGTGGCCCTGGTCAGCTACTATGGCGAGGTGATTGGGAGTCTTGGCGCAGAAGGTCAGCCAATTCGGAGACGGTTTTTCAGTGGTGAAAGCACAGTTTGTCGGGTTTGAGCACAAAAAGGGGTTGGTCATCGTGCCCAGGTGCTGTTCATCAAATGTAATGGGTTCATGTTCTGATGAATGACCCATTGCTGGCCCCAAACCTGTTTGTAAGGTATACTTTTTTTAAAGGATCGACCTGACCAATTACACATCAATTATTTGCAAGTGTATTAAGGTTTATATAAATATGTAATTATGTAAATTATGTGTATTATATATATATATAGAGAGAGAGAGGGGGTCCAGCTACATGTTCAGGAGCTTGCTGTACACTCAAGTCACCACCTCCCGGCGGACTTCAGAGTAGGGGGAGTCCTTTCAAATCCATCCCATTCAGATGAACTTTAGACTTGATGGAGACGTATGATTCAGCTAATTCGGAAAGAAACATGTTCCACTTTGAACCAAGAAAGTTTGACCTACGGCGGCCTACGGTTGAAAGTCTGCGGCAGCTGAAGCCGAAAAACACAGATGGATTTTATTAGAATAGGGAGACCTCCCGTTTGATTCCAAGGGGGAAATCGACCCAAGCCCATTGGGTCAGGGGGTCTCCCTATTTAGATACACACCCAAATACCGCAGCCATCCTATCCCAGTGGTAGGAGTTTTTAATGTTGCAGTAGGGTAGCTGAACTGATCTCAACAGACTGTTCTCATACACAAGTACATGTAGGACCCACAAGTACACCCACCACTCTTTAAAACAAATTCACTACTGTTACTACTGTTTGTTTAGAGAAACCAAGTCCTGTCGCACCTCTTTGTAGAAAGGGCCTCCAGATCAGCCCCACGCGGCGAAAGGGCCTCGCCCCAGGATCATTTTGGCCTTCTCCTTACCCGCCGCAGCGGCCGTGGACATCCGGAAGTGGACACAGCTCGTGACCTTGGAGCGTTTTCAGTATGGAGTTTTCATGGGGAGGAGCATGACAAGACATTTGTTCAAGAAGGTTTGGAGAAAAGACACAAAATACAGTTCTACAACAAGAATCATCATTATGGGAATAGACTTTGATTTTTCAACATGTTGAAATGGTCAAACACTGGTCATGTACCTGCTGGACTGCAGGGGGAAGGATCCAAAGTTGTTTTCCCCAGACTAATTTTGTAATAGGTCGATGAAGATGATGATCATATTTTAATTTTAAGGATAAATGGTTGTGATAGTGATACAGAGCAGATGAACATATGAGTACATAGCCCCTGAACATAGAGTCCTACAAGACGATGTTCCTCGATAAACCCACGGACAATTGGCATTGGGTTTGCTGCCCCATGTTTCTCGGGGTGGTAGAAGCGAAAGGATGACAGTGTGCTCGACTGAACCCTCAAACCCTTTGAATTAGGCTTTGTTAAGGCTTTACTGATTGCAAGTTCTCCTTCGAGCAAAGAACTGGTCGGATCAACGGTGCACTCCCGTTTTGTGTCAAACCACTGCTGTCATGCCCCCTTCAGCAAGTTGCCCTTGCATGGGTTCGGTTCTGTGTTGTTTTCTTGCCGTAAGAATAGCATGTATGTCAGTCTTGCACCACTTGCCCCTGCCTTTTGCTGGCCAGCGTGAGGAAGTTGGCAGCGTGATGGAAGAAACTGCACAAGCTATACCTTGGATAGTTGGCGCCAACATCAACACGACCTTGGAAAAGATGATCCAAGAACATCCACTAGGGAGCTGAGATGAGGCCTGTCAGCGAAGGATTGGTTCGTGGGTGTTGCTTGTGGTTTCTGCCTTTCTTTATTTGACACAATACAGTAAATGCATATATATATATATATGTATAGTAATATATTTATTTATATGTTGTATAAAAATAGTTGTTGTTGGTTATGCCAGACTATATTGAACTATATTACGTAAACAAATTAACTTCTCACTATTTTGAGGTCTACAGACGTTTTTGGGGGGCGGGAATGGCTTCCAAAAGAACATGGCTACTCCCGTACTTTTACTCTTGCTTCATATTCCTCTATGAAATCTATGCAGGTTCATTATTTTGTACGCCCATCCGAACATAATCATTGGGATATATATATATATATGTGTTCCGAAAGCAAAGCGCCTGAGCGCCGGCAGACCTGCAGGTTTAGGTCATTGTTTTCCTTTGCGGGGGAGGCTTTAGAGGTCTATCTACATAGCCAAATCACGAACGTACATGGGACGTTGGTCTATTCTCCAATTCTCCCCTTGGCTAGTATATAAGTTTTGAGGATCTCCTTTCTTACTCACCGCGCACGCACACGCACGCACACACACACACACACACCCCTGTGTGCAGTCCCTGCTGACCTGCTGTCGACCCGGCGGTCATTTCTGAAAAGATCAAGCCACTTTTTGTGACCAACATGTCTCGTGTCTACCGTTTCACGGCCCGACCTGAAGAATTGGGCCGTGCGCCAGCGCCCAGGCGATGGAGCCTGCCCGGCAAGACCCCGACCGGTCAGCCGTTCGGACTGTTGCACCAAAGCCGTGCGACTTTCACCCCGGACGTCCAAAGTGATCGGTTGAACATGTTGAACATGGCATGTCATATCATGACTTGTGGGACAAACCAGGCCCAGGTCAAAAGAAAGCATGACCCATTTCTGAAACAATTTCCCATCATGTTGGCAAATGTCAAGATCAGCAGGTCCAAATCCATGGCGATGGCACATGTGTTCGCGGTTTAAAAGAGAGGATGGTGCTTGGTGCATCTTGGTGCTGCGACGCCGGGTGAGGTGGGTTTCATCAGACTTGATCGTTCGAAAGGCAAGATGCAAGGTCCCATAGATTCTGCTAAGGCTTAAACTTGTGGAGATGATATTTTTGGAGTAATCCCCACCTTGTCCCTAAACTCCTATAGCTGCACCTGGCGCTTCTGAGTGTCCTACACGTAAGGATTGAGTATCGTGACTGGAGATGGGAACATTTGTCGGTTAGCCAAATCTTTGCGGCTACGGCTGCGGTTAGTCAGTTGCTCATCAAACATCACTCATGTGCTTATAAGCTTGACCAAGGCTTCTATTTTCCGCAGATTGTGCGTTGATCCTGCTTTCGCGTCGGGCTGGTTGTCGGGCTTTCTCCTTTCACGTCTCAGGTTTTGAGCCTTCCCTTGCAGGTGCTGCGACACGGCGCTCAGGTGGGGCATGTGATGAAAACACCATACGACACGGGTGTTTGGGAACGCGACCGGTGCAGCGATGGAGTGGGATGAGAGGCCAACTTTTCATGTCAATCCAAAAAAACGATCAAACAAGGCCAGGTCAAGGAACTCCTGCCGAGATCCAGATTTATTTTAACAAAAAACACGACTCAAATGAGGAAAATTGATGGACAACTAACTCTTCCCGTTCGGAAGGTGGCGTCGCTTCACCTCGCCGACGCAGGCGGCGATCTCGAAGCAACAGCCGGCGCCGGGGCTGCGAGAGGCGAACGAAACCAGTTCGTCGGAGGTCGGGGGGAGCTGGCCGAAGCGTTGAGCTGGCCACCGGAGCGTTTGACCCCTCGGCAAATGGATGTAAATCGATAAGACCACGTTTTGGGAGTGTAAAACCCTTGCTGTAAGACCGATTTGGGATTACAGGGTGATTCAAATTCAAAAATGTGATTGAACATGATTGAACTATGTTGGATTCCGGGAGAAACCAGTTCACATCCCAAATCAATTCGGAACTGGAAGCACTGGGCATCCGTTTGTTTCATGTTTTTGGTGCGTCGATGTCAGCAGCCCTTCCTTTGTTGGCCTTCCCGGAATCGTCCATTCGTTGGAACGGAACCACAAGGGCGGGAAGGGTCGATTCGTGTTCATGAGTCGTGTTTCCTATCATCTTCCTATTTGAGACACTCCATACGGAACTGGAATTGATGTCGGTAAATGTGGGCAAACGAGTCTTATGGAGTGTGTGTGATGTGTGTGTGTGTGGGTATTGCTTACATTGCTTCCTCCCATGGCTTTTGAAGTAGCTCCTGGACTCTTCCACCTTGGGCGACCGGCGAGTGCAGCGAACCAAAACACGTGCGGCGAGTGCATGGTTTGACAAGTTCTCCATTGACTCCTTTTCATCCAGCAAAAGTTCCAGCAAATTATTCCAGTTTCATGGGGTGTTTTTGGGAAGTAGACGCAGCCTTTGGAGAGGTTCCTTGTTGACTTCGCGAAGAGTTTCTGTCAGGTTCTTAAGGCAGCAGCAGTGCCCAAAAGCACACAGCTCAGAATGTTTTTTTCTCGGATCTCAGAAGGTGTTTTGGGATGCTGTGATGGCTAGACAATGACCGAAGATTGGGGGCATTCTTTTGACTTCATCGGATCTGGATGAGGTGACGAGACTGGGATAGCATGGTCAGGAGATGTCATGCATCGTCACCCACCATTGTTGTACCCATTACTCCCGCATTAGGGGTGCATAATTAACGCGCAGAATCCGTAGACCCTTCCTAGCAGAGGTCGGACTTCGTGTAGCAGGGGTCTAGACCCGACGAGACCCGAGTAACAAGAACGTCCCAATTGAAAGCCCGGTTCATGTGCCCTGGGCCTGATTCTTTAAAGATTCGGGCCCACCTTGGTTGGGTGGATCATTTTGAGCTACTAGTAGCTTCCTTGCTCCTAGTAGAAATGCCCTTGTTACTAGTAGCTTCTTGCTCCTAGTATATAGCGATGCCAGGTGCTACTAGTAGCATCTAGTAGCATCCTTGTTCCTATTTTTTTTTTTCTGTGTGATTGTCCCAGTTCACTGGGTGAATCCCCCATCCGAACCAAATCCGAGCCACTGAGGTGGCCTGTTCCGGGGCCTCGTGCCTGCCGGGGAGCCAACCGGACGAGCCGACCCGTATGTTCCGTGACGGACGTGCCTTCTGCAGACGGCTTTCGTTCAACACGAGCAGGTTGACCCAGAGTGAATCACCCCAAGATTACGTCTTCCTGGTGGAGGACAAAAATCATTGACTGTGCACAAAGCAATCAAGCTACAATAATAAACTAAAGCCTCCACCACACCACAAAGCCACCACAGAGAGCTATCAGTCTTACTTTTTTTGGGGGGGCGTCAAATCATGGACGACTCGTTTTTGTCACTTGCTTGGCGACCACTCACAAAAGACTGATCACGACCTGAAGAAGATCCCTGCTTGGAGTGGCAACCATTCTAAAGATCATGAGACAATAGCACACACCCTTTCCTTCATATGAGCAATCAATGGATTGATTGAAGGGAACATCTGCAGGAAAGCCATTGCTTTCACCATCTTTCACCCCTGAAACTGGGCATCCTGTTGTCAGCCGTCAGCCTTGAAGCAGCACACAGCGTCTTGTTGCGGCTCGCTTTGAGGCGCTTTGCCATTCAAGTTTGTCGCCCTTGGTGTTCCTACTGGGCTATGAGGCGCCCCGTTGGTGGGACGTGAGTGGGTTAAACAAGTGACTTTTGCTGTTCTACCATGTTTTGAGGCACCACATGGGTCGAAGCGATGTGCAAGAGTGAGAAACAGAGCTGCCCAGCTTGTTGTACAAGATTCATTGCTTTTTTTAGGACAAAGGGGCACCAATACTATAGCATCAAAGCAGTTCAAATCAAAATGAATCATTATCAGCAGAACTCTTCAGCACAAGGATTCTTAAGAAGTGATTACAAGTGATTGCTGGATCGTCAGTGCCAAACCGTCCAAGTTTGCAACTCCTCACGCTTGAGGACCTGGGCGGGAGGAATTGTCTTGACAGCTTTCTCACAGTACACTGTAGTTGAATCCACAAGAAGTTGACCCCCAATCTATCCCTACAGTTCAGTTTGATCTCATTTTACTGGAGTTGATTGATCATACAAAAACACTCCTCAATAAGGTTTTCAGGACCAGGTCGTACTGGTCTTTGCACCTGCAGGGTATTAAACTGTTGGGGCCCACACTAGGTAGGTTTTGCCATGCCTGGCCATGCCCTGCGAGGTCCAGCGTGGCTCGACCGAAGTGATACAAGCAGGGATGGTGGCGAAAGCAGTGCTGAGCTTAGCAACAGTCAAACTAAGGGAAACCGTCAACAACCCGCTCTTTCCAGGACTCTGAAGACACCATATTGTCTTTATAGCTTGAGAATCAAGAGGGTTTGCTCCTCTTCTTTCTCACGAGCTTCGACCCAGAGATTTGGGCGTGGTGAAACCATGGGGAACGGGCCGAGGGCCCGGGCCAAATCCCCTGAATTCACCCGAATTCGACGAGCTGGTCTTTTGGGCGAATTCGCTGTGTGTCGCTGTGTGGCGACGAGCCCTGTCAACATCCTTTGAACGAAACTCGCACCCAAACGAGCACCCAATCCTCACGCCATGGTTCTGACCACCCAAAAAGCGAGAGAAAAGGGCATCGACCACCGTGACAGTATACCCCGGCATCGACCACCTGCGGAGTCGTCCGATCCGGAGTGATCCGTGAAGAACATCGAGGCAAGAGGCAAGAGGCGCAGGTCTCCCAGTCGGTTGATTTGGCCGATTGTTTATACAATCCGTTTTTCGACCGTACTGAACCGGCGGGTCCTGGTGGGGTGGATGTTTTTTTTCCTAAGCAACACCAGCAAATCAGAAGCTCTAGAGCCTCCTGCCCTTAGTCTCTCTGGCACAAGGGCTGCGCCGTGGTTCCCTGAGCTCGACACTGAACACATCTGTGCCTTCTAGGGTCCGAACACCAAGTCAAACGATGAGAAGGATGCACAACAGGCCCAAGGAAATCCGCGCTGCTGGAAAAGCAAGGTTTGCCAGCTAAAACCGAAACCTTGTGTTTACCCCACTATGCCAAAATCATGAGCTCACAGCGTGTGCAGCACCGCCTGCTACCATGTGGACAAAAGATCGGGATGTTTCGGTACAACAAAATGACTGTGGGATGTACCTCCTGAGCTTGGCTGTTTCTGAGGTTCAAGTGACGGCGCTCCAACCCTTCGACTTGATCCGGACCTGCCGACAGGCGCACTTTGCATGACGCGGAAGAAGCACAGACTCTCCCACCACGGTGGGACGTGGAAGCTGGATCCACTAACAAAAAGACCAGTTGGATTTCCTAGATGAAAGAACTGAAGGATGATTGGATGATCATTTAGTTCAATCCATCATACAAGTGGTTCTCCCAATCCTTGTGGAGCTCATCATGTATTTTTCAAACATACGGTGTCCACCGCCTTCAACACGAGACCGGATTTGTGGTGGAGGACTGAGCGTGAAAGAACTGCCATTTGGAAGGAACCACTTCTGCACAAACGATGAGGGCCTGCGAGGAGATCAACATAGATCAACTGATCAACAGATCAACATCATTTTTAAAGATCAACCGTTTACACCCTCCGGCAGGCCGTCAATTGAGACCTGTTGGGGCCCGTACATCGTCCTCGATCCACGTGCGTTCGAGAGCCACCGAGACTCTTGAGGCAGTGATTCTGCTGCCCAGCAGTGCCGCGGCACACTTGCAGCGGACGCCCTGGGAGGCGTTGCCGTGGGAGTGGCGGCCATGCCGTTGAGTCTCTATTTTCTTTGAGGATGGGCTTTTGAAGTTTTAGGGTTTGCTTAGGGGAAGCCACTCCCGGCATGAAGTCGGAGGTTTTTTGGGGGACTGGCTAGCGGATTCTCAGAGCACCTGCAAAGCCGCTTTCAATCACTCTGCAGGGCCATGTCCACCGTGCTGAGAAGCTTCATGGAAGTTCCGGTACGGACGGTTCTCTCAAGGCTTGAAAAACGTGCTGTTTGATGGTTTGGGTGCTGGGAATCGGTTGCCTGGCTGCACTTCACAGTCAAGACCATGAAAGAAGAAGATGGAAGAAGAGTTGAGGTTGGAAGTGGTTTGAGTAGTTCTAGACGTTCTCATTCAATTGTTTGCTTGTGCTACAGAGTTTTGGCCCTGAAGATGTCAATTTGGCCGAATCAAATCAAAAACAGGCCAGGTGCTCAGGTGCTCCCTTTTTCCAATGGTGTGGTGGGCTCTAAGCGCCAGCATTGACATGACACGGGTCATGCATGGTCATGCCAATGCCGTCCATGCTGTCACACAGCGCGGTAGGTGGTCATGTCTGAAGGCACCCGGTCTCTTTGGCGAGGCGAGGCCGAAGCGGACCGTGACGAGCCTCTGGGCATCGGAAGCGGGGGCGTCGTGTGGACTTACAGTTTATATTCAGTATGTGTTTGTCATTGTTTGATATTGTTTGTCTATTGAAGTGTCTCATATTTGGATAAATAGACTGTTTTGACTTCCATACGAGGATCAGTATGAGGATTTTTGTTTTTTAATGAGACACTTTAATACACTTTATATATTAGAATTATTAGAAGAAAGATCGATCAGACTGGACTTAGTCCAGCGCCATTCCTTTCTCATCGAGTTCTTTTTTTCTTCGCTCCTTTTCGCCACGCACCTGGAGACTCTCGCAATGCTCCAGGCTGGATCCCGACGCTCCTGCGCGATGTCTTGGCGGCCGGCTTGTTCTGGCCAGGAGCTTGTCATGTTGGGCTCGCCCTCAGGTTAATGGACACTGCTACGAAGCAAGTGCCAAATTTAGTGTCATAGAAACATAGAATCATAGAGAATAATATATAATAGTAATATATAATAACAATAGTAAACATATAGATATCGTAATACCAATCAAAGAACACAACTGACTTGAAAAGGGGACGATTCTCGAATATTCCCGACATCACAGGTTTTCCTCCTGAACATTTCACCCAACCACCCACCCACACACTCTGACATTGGTTTGCATTTAACTCAAATCCCACGCTGAGAAGGAAGGTGAACGAACGGAAAGGTGGAAGAGTCGGCAGAACAGTATTGTTTAACAGAAGGTTTCGCGTGACTGCAGAACACTAGTTACTGAGTACTTAGCAGACCTAGGAAAGGAAAGAGTGAACCGAAAGGCGAAGAGTCCGAGTACTTGAAGGTGTTTTAACAAAAATTGACGCGTGACTGCAGAAAACTAGTTACTGAATACTTAGCAGACCTAGGAAAGGAAAGAGTGAACGGAAAGGCGAAAAGTCCGAGTACTTGAAGGTGTTTTAACAAAGGTTGACGCGTGACTGCAGAAATCTAGTTACTGATTACTTAGCAGACTGAATTCACGCTGTGCACGGAAACCTGTTTTGGGGGATATCATGCGAAGAACCAACATGGAAACAAACCAACAGCGGCAAGGGGAACCAGTGGAGTCATTGCGTTTGATGCAGGTACACAGTGGAGCGTCCTCCACTGCTTCAGCACCAACCGATACCCTCTTCGTTGGACGGGTATTATCGGTGGTGACCCGTCCCCCCTGCCTCCTTTTTCTTTGCGTGAAGAAACTGCAAGTTAGTAGCGATACCAGAAGCCCTTAGTAGCAGAACCAGGGGCCCTAGTAGCATCCTGTACGACTCGAAACCTTAGACACAGGTGTGGACACACACACACACACACCCGCGCGCGCACACACACGTAGCATGACCCAGGCATAGCTACACGCTCCTGACCAAGTCCATCCTCAAAGAACCTTGGGAGGAGGACGTCGCAAAGCTCGGATGTGCGCGAAGCGGGGGCGCAGATGGATGGATGTTCGGTGGCTGTAGTCACTTACATTGCTGATGGTGACCTATTTGAGATTGGAAGATCGACAGATTCAATACCGAAGAAACGAACTACATCAATTTCCCCGAATTTCCAGCGGTGGCTTGTGCTGGGGGACTGGGGTGTGATTCAATTCATCCCCTCATCCAAAGACCTTGTGTATCGATTCAAGAAAGGTTGCTTTTGGATGCTTTTGGAGTAAAGCAGTTAAAGCAGTTGTTTCTATTCCTTGTTATTAGTTTCGACTGGTTCATCCAAAGTTTGTGCAAGGGAGTGGCATGAGCTTGCTCATGCAATGCGCCGCACGTGAATAATCATGAAGTGCTTGGAATTGACACTTATTGCAAGGTGTTTTTTGTTCATTTGCTTTGCTTGTCCAGTGCGTGCGAAGTGTCCCTAGCTTCTTGGTTCCACAAGAGCGATCTTCCAAACGCCTGGAAGCATGCGAAGAGCATTGGCACTAACCCTGGACCCTAGAGAGAGCAATTCCCAATATTTCCGAATCAACCCACACTTATATACGAAGTCCTTGCGTATGATTATACTTTAAATAATTGACAACTACCAGCTAGCCGGTAATTACCAAAACTAATGAAGTGACACATGAAGGCCCTGGACGTTAGCTGAATAATTCCTATACAACGCCCAAGGTGTGTGTACCAGAGTGTAGCATGGTCTGAAAACCAATGATGAGTGCTGCCTCATGCCCACATCCAGAAACCACTATCGCTACTATCTTGGCACAAGCCCTTGTTAGTAACCTATATTACAGCACATCATTGAATCACTGTTCCCCTCTTGAAGACTCGCGTGTTCAAACACAGAGCTTATCAAAGGGATTCAGCTTATTACAGCTTATCAAAGTCAACAGCCCAAACGGGTGTTCCTCTCTCGTCTTTCGCCCCTCACGGCCATGGCCCCGGTGGAGTGGCTTTGCGAGCTGTGCACGGAGATCTTGTTGGACCCAGTGACACTGCCCTGCTGTGGTCACTCGGTCTGTTGTAGATCTAAGCCGCAGAACTTGTGTGTCTCATTTAAACCGGCTTAAAGTTAGATATTTAAACCGTTTTATACCTTTTGAACAAATTATTTGGTAATCTATACTGCAGGAGTGTGGAGGGTTCGTCTTTATCTTCTTGGATGGCCGCCGTAGACTGAGTTATATATATATATGTTTAATATACCTTTCGTGCACATAATACCACCATGATGTGATAGAACAGCGGCTCAAGCTGAGAAGTCTTTTTGATGAAGTGTGAGTGTTTTTTTGTTTAGAATGAACTCCAGTCAGTGGTGCGCTGCATCTGGAAGGACTGCATGCACCTACCTGCTGGGATGAAGTTTTTATTGTGTTTTTGTTGTTTAAAATCATCTCTTTAATGTGTGAATCTTCAACAAACGCATGTTTCACCCTAAGAATCAAGAACCCTCAGATGGTAAAGTCCAATGATTGCAATGTGCACTTTTTTTTGTAGCAAAACCTGTGCATTGTTAAAACAGATGTTTGAGTGCCACCGTGTCACCCTTGCCTTGCCAAAATAAGTCAAATATTAAATATACTTCTGCTGAAATGTGAGTAACCTCTATTTTGCATCATCAACCACCCAAAACAGGGTCTTTTCCTATTTCGCCCAAACCTGCTGACTTCTTAAACTGTAAGTGGCCTCCAACCTACTAGCGATGGCCTCCATTCTACTAGCGATGGCCTCTATCCTACTAGCGATGGTCTCCATCCTACTAGCGATGGCATTCATTCTATTAGCGATGGCTTTAACCTACTAGCGATGGCCTCCAACCTAATAGCGATTGCCTGGAGGCTACTAGCGATGGCCTCCAAGCTACTAGCGATGGCCTCCGGTCTTTTCCTATTATATAAACATATTTAAATGAGCCTATAGCCTATAATCCCCAGATGGGCCAAACCTCCTGGTGACTTCTTCAAGATGTTTTAAGTGTGAAGTGGATGATGTTTCTGTAGGCCCAGCATGCGGGACAATTAATGGTGGAACCTGCCACCGACATACATAGCAGGTGATGCGTGTCGAACTGGAAACGGCTTCGGGGCGTGTGGTCTTCTTCTTGAACACAAAAACAACACCGCAGGATTTTCTGTGAGCAAGTCTTGGCACGATCACAATCCCGGCAAGAAAAGTGACCAGAACGGCTCTTTAGACCTCTTGAGAGATCCAACTTCGCCAGCCAGATGCAACGTGGTCAGCGCGTCGGAGCCCCGAGCCTCGGTTCCTCCCAACCTCCCGGTGTTTCACTCTTCACCCGATCCGTCTGAAATCGACATTGGCATTTCCGCTGGTGCTTCGCCAGGTGAGTCCTTTTGCCAAGAGTGTTTGCGTCAATGGACCATTACCAAGCTGGAGGATGGTGCCCAACGGCCGCGCTGCCCAGCTGGCTGTGGGAAGAAGATCGACTATCGCTTGCCACAGACGTCCAAGGTGCGAGCCTCAGAAGCTGGTGGAACGGTCCGCAGAAGGAACTGAGTTGAAGCCAGCCAAGAGACCCAGTCGGAACAATCTTTACATTGTATTGTTACAAGTTTGCACAGGGGTATCACTACTAGGAACAAGGACGCTACCAGGGGCTCCTGGCGTCGCTACTAGGAACAAGGACGCTACCAGGGGCTCCTGGCGTCGCTACTAGGAACAAGGACGCTACTAGGGGCTCCTGGCCATACTACTAGGAACAAGAAGCTATTAGAAGCAAGAAGCTACTAGGGGCCTCGCTGCGACTGATTTCTTTGCCCCGCTGATTTCTTTGCAACCGTTGGTCTCGAGAGACCCCGGGTTTGAGACCCCAGACCTCCCCATATGAGGGTCTCACGGTCCTAGCATTCTTCCCACCACAATGACGCTTCACACAGCGCAACTTCATCCCTCAACCCCTCCTGGATTGGTTCAACCTGGAGCTCTGAGTGGCACAGGGGTCAAGTCAAACACCACATGGGGAGGCAGAAAAAGGCCTCCCAAACAAACGCTTGAGAAGAACGCCACCCCCCACAATCGATTACCCACCGCTGTAATATGGAATTACATGGTGGACGTTCCTGGTTAACCCAAAGGCATCCTCAGCTTGGCTATACTGTGGCTTCGATCTGTGCTTGTGAACAAAAATCCGCTCAGTCTGGTGGATCGGTAGACACCCAAGGGGGAGCGGGAGCATGCCAACTCTTGGTTGGGGGGGAGCGTGACGATAGGGCAGGGTTTCACCAAACACTCCGTGTGACTGGAATATATGCCTAGGCCGTAGACCCTCTAAACCCATCACATGTCTGGCTCATGAAGCAACACCCTTCTTGAGTTGTTGTTCCCGTCCGGGGCGCCCCGGAGCCGGGCGTTCGTTGAAACGCGGCAGGTCTTGAGGCAACTCTTGGAGTCCAGTCACTCCGCTGAGATCGCAGAGCGCCGTGGGGAGGCTGAGGACGTCACTCCGCTGCTGGGAGGCTTTGAGGCCTGGCAAGAGGTGGCCGCAGCGAGAGAGACCTGGCGGCTTTCGGTAGCACCTGCTTCCAACCAGACGGCTTTTCGGTTGGTGGTTTGACTGTTTGACTCTGGACTGTTCCGAAGTTAGAAGAAATATATTGGAACTTACTGCTTCAGAGGGGTCGGTGACTTTTAGGTGACCCCGAACATCGAGGCAAACATGTGGGTCAGTTTACCTTTGGCATTGCTCCGATGAGCCAATCTCAGGACATTGTGGTCGGAGACCAGGTCTACGTGTCTTTCGGGACAAGTGGCGTTGTACTGTGCAATCATGAGACAACTCATGTCAAGGCTCTCGGCGTGAAAGAACTCAAACTGAAGACTTCCAAAAACATAGTGTTTTTTTTTTGAATTCATGTTGGTTCCATATCAAGATATCTCAAGTGTTCCTCTGACCCGAAGGATCCATGTCAGATGGCCATGTATGGAACCTCTTCTGCAACTGACCTGGGCGTTTTCACCCCAGGTGAAGTTCGACTCAGTCCTACACGGCACCGGCACGCTGAACGTCTTTCCGGCACAGCTGATGCCACAGCTGCCCAGGAGCCGCAGCGCCTGCGGCAGCGAGCAACGGGCCTTGCAGATCGGCGAAGCCGTGGTGGCAGCGTTGAATCTCACAACCGGAGAGCCTCCAGCGACTGGGAGCCATTTGGGACGAATGTGATGGGATGTTGATTTCTTTCCAGATCTGAAACATAGATCGAGCATGATTGGACAAAAGGTGACCCACCTGGTTTTTGTTTGTGAGGTGTGATGCTGCATGGTTTATGCTTGGTTCTCACTTTTGGTTCGTCAATACAATGTGGACGATGATGTTTGGTCCAGAGCAGGTCACTTAGAGACTTCAAAGGGGTTTTCTTTAAGGCTTTGGAATGCACGCAAATTGTTAATATATAAACTATAGCTCAATTATAGTTCAATTGTGTAAATTCCATTTGGTAAAATAACAACTATCACAAACATAGTAGGAGCAGCTCCCAAAGTAGCCGGGGTGAGCAAGAGCACTATGGATGACATTGCATGTCTTTGACAGGGACATGTTGAATCAGTTACTGTAGAGATATGGGCTTGACATGTGACATGTGTTATATTATTGATTTGGAGCTGGACCTGTGCATCTTGTCGCTGGCATGATACTGTAGGAATTCTGGTTGTTTCTCCTGAAAGCTTACGCTTGAAGGCTTTCAGGCACAAGAACCAAAACGATGGTACCACATCGACAATGTGATGTGCCGTAATAAATGAACTTCCGCCCAACCGTCCCAGTTCTTCGTCGCTGGCAGTGTCACAGTTCGTCATCGGACGGTGGAGACCCTGCACACTTGATAAACCGTGCATCCATGGAGCTTTGGGATGGGATCCTATTATACTACATGATATCCCAAACCCTTGAGGAGCTATAAAGGAACTTTATCTCCTTTATTATATAACATATAACTATAT